GACTCGGTGTCGCATGGTGGATTACAACTGCCAATCGCCACATCCATTAACATCGCGCTAATTATCGCCACCACTACCAATACAATCATCATGTACTTGATCATGGTCATCTTAAAACAATAGTAATATGTTACTAAGTATGTGGTTTAGTCGACTATTAATAAATATATGTAATCAATTTTGAGCATTGTTATTATAAAACAACAAATGTAGTTGTATAAATTTTATTTAGTTTGTGACCAAGCAGAAATGATAATTCCAGCAGATAACTAAATATATTACTTTAACATGAAAAATGCTTATCGTATGGCAATATTAATCCTATGTGTTATGATAGTCTATGGGAGTAATGTTAGGCCTATGGGGGTAATTTAAAGTCTATGTGATAATGTTTTTTCTATTGATGTATTTTATACGAATGTAACAATTTCAATAAGACTATTTGTTATTAAAAATTATTTAACTCTCAAAATAATAAGATTGAATGTGTCCTAAAAATAGCTTTGATAAATTTAAAAAAGTTGTTGCATTTACAAATTGTGGTTAATATATAGATATCACAGTGTGTTCAGTGATCCATGTTAATAATTCATTCAATTTTTCTATTAACACATAAATTATACAAATATTTTTATTAATTATTAATAAATACTGATTTAGGATCTTTAAAATATATTCATATTTTTTCATGTTCAATTCATCTTTCAATGTTCATTTAAATAACATAAACATTTTTAAAAATCTACAGAATAATAATTATTTAATAATTATTGATTAATAATTATTAAATAATACATTGATATTTGATTAAAAGTTATAAATTGTAAAATTTTTGTCTTCTCATTAAACTGATTAAAGACCAAACAGTATATTCTGCTTCCAATAGACAGCTATTTTTAATAATGTTAGCAATTTTTAAATTCTGTTTGAGCCAATATGAGCGGCAATCTTGACAATCAAAACATGTATTGCCATTAAATTTAACTGTATTTAAAATATTCTCAAAATAAAATGGACGAAAAACATTCACGGGCAAATACTTATAGCAGGTAATTTGATTTCCCAGATGAATTTGTGTGGGTCGATTTATGCCGGTGAAAGTGCCAGGTTAAAACTTGTCTCATTTAAGTGATTTGACAAAAGTTCAATATTTAGCGTTATATTACTGGGTCTGTCGATAGCGAAAGTGTTGGCCATTATATGGTTTAATGGAGAGTTAAATATTAATAGATATTGCAATGAATATAAACCACTGAACGCGTGACTGCCTATGAATGTAACATGGTGCATTCGCTGGCACCGTGGTAAATTTGCAATTATTCATCTCAGTAATGTCAGTTGCGTTAATAAACTTGCTCATCACATCAAACATTGTATCAGGCTCTAATAAATTATTACGTATAATTTTGAAGACAGTTGTGGTGTTGTAGTTAGACATAAATGCATCAGGGTGGATGTGAACCAGATTTGTGTAGCTAATCTCGATTTCTGAAAATACAATATCCATGAAAGTGTTGGCCTTTATTTCAGTTACTTTTGTGTTATTAAATTTAAAACGATGAAAATGTTTTTGTTCCGGTTTTAGGGTTAGACTTAGTTTGTTAAACATTTCGGTCAAATCTATATCCATATCTCCATAGCATTCTATGTAATTGTATTGACAACCCGTACAACCATAGGGTAGTATTACGCTCTGGTCCGGACACTCGCACGTAATTGTACTGACATTTTGGTCAAATACAAACAGCCAGATTAAATCCTTAAAATGTGTAAATCTTTAATTAAAAATTTAATTATTTATAAAACCAATAGTGATTGTATAATAAGGAATAATAATATTTATGAAACTTTTAGACAATCACAACAACTCAGACTGAAAATAACTCAAAAGTATTCAAACTAACTAACCACTTAAATCATATTTTTTTAAACCTTAAACGACAATTAAACAAAAATAATAATTTTTTTACAACTAGGTTATTATGAGGTTTAGTTTTATAATATCTAGTAGATATAACATAAATTAACATGTAACAATTTTACATTTGACGTTTTGTTATATTTCAGTATAAAATTTTACATTTAATACTTACATAATGCTTGCTTCATGATTATAGTATCTCTTATTATGTTATAAGTTACATTAAAACTATTTTAACAATATACTTATTTATATAAAATTGATATAAGTTAACATTTAAAACAATGATAAATGTAATCAACAGTTAAATCAATTTTAGTAAGGTATAAGTGTTTTTGGTAATATAATACACTCGCATTACACGTACTGTTTTTTCAGTAGTTTAGTATAAAATATATTGATTGATATAATGATATATTTAAGATTATTTTTAATATCTTACTTGAAGGCAAACCACTTAATAAATAGATTAAAGCGGTCTTACTTAAATAATTTATTAAATTAATTAAGATTATTTAAATGTCAAGACGTAAAACATTTTTATTAGTTTTAATAATTAAGGTTTTAAACATTATATTCAATAATTAACAATGTTAACAATATTGAAAATGCCCTGGTGCAACAAATGCTTTAGAATCTGAACATGTTAAATCAATAGCCCGTTTATAAGTATCATTTTGTTTGAGCCAATATGAGCGACAGTCCTGACAATCCAATTGCGTATTGTGCCAAAAATCAATAGTATTTAAAATATTATCATTGTAAAATGGACGAAATACTTTTTCTGGTACATATACAAAGTCGCTGAACTTGTATCCCAAATAAAATATTGTGTGACGATTAATGCCTGACATGGAGCCAGGTTCAAAACTAGTTACATTTAAAATATCAGACCAGAGGCCAATTTGTAAGGAGTCATTACTGGGTCTGTCAATAGAGAATGCATTGGCCATTATATGGTTGACGCAATTACTACCAATAGTAAGACCTCGTAATGCATATAAACCATTAAACGCATTATTTTCTATTGTTTTTATATTGTAACCAATAGTTAAATTTTCAAGTTTTGATTGATTAATATTGTGAAATGCGTTTGCCGGTATTATGGTCAATTTGGCTAATTGTACGTTAATGATTTTTACGTTGATAAATTTATTCATCACCTCGTACATTGTATCGGGCTCTAATAAATTATTAAATGTTATTTCGAGTATAGTTGTTATATTGTATGTACACATAAATGCACCAGGGTGGATGTGAACCAGATTTGTGTGGCTAATCTCAATTTCTGTAAATACAATATCCATGAAAGTGTTGGCCTTTATTTCTGTCACTTTAGTGTTGTTTAATTTAAAATGGTGGAAATGTTTTTGTTCCGGTTCTAGGGTTAGGCTAAGTTTGTTAAACATTTCGGCCAAATCTATATCCATATCTCCATAGCATTCAATATAATTATATTGACATCCTGTGCAACCGAAGGGTTTGATCACCGTTGGGTCAGGACACAAGGTGTTAATGTACTGGATAGTTTCATTAAACAATATAACCCAAGTGAAATCTAGAAAATATACATACTTATTTTTAATAATTGTTTTACAAAGATCATTAATTAGTGATTGTAATAATAATTTTAGTAATAGTGACTGTAATAAGTCACATTAATAAGTTTTATACATCAACAACAACTCAGTTAAGCAAGGTTGTATGAAATTGTATTTTTAATATAAATGTAACATAAAGCATATTTTACAACAATGTTGCATACTCACATAATATTTGCCTCATTATTGTAATTTATAACGTATTACGTTATAATGTATATTAAAACTCTTTAGACAATGTACATATTTATATATAAATAATATACAGGTATATAAGTTGACATTTAAAACAATGATAAACGTAATCAAAAGTCAAATTAGTTTAAATGTCATCAAAAATATAATGAATTGTTTTAAACAAAGTCCATTTTGATAACTTTGTTTGCTATACGTTAATCACAATTCAGGTGATGCTTAAAGAATAGATTAATATTACCTGTTAATTAATTATGGATCCTATAGATTTAACATTGTTCATAGGATTAGTCTGTAGCAAATTTTATTGTTTATTTAAAAATCAATTGATATAACTATAATAAATGTAATTAGTGATAAATGTTTAAATATTAGTAATTTATTTAGCGATCTGTTTTAAAAAGTTTTAATTTTATTTAACAAATTAGTTACATTCTCTGAAATGTGTTGGATCATCAAATGGTTTACCATCAGAGCATGGTAAATTAACACGTTTAAACAAATCGTCTTTCTTTAACCAATTGGACCGACAGTTCTGACAATCAAAACCCTTATTACCACTAAAATCAATAGTATTTAACTTATTTTCCATATAAAACGGTTGAAACACTTTTTCAGGTAAATAAACGATATTTTTTGTTTGATATTGCATTCCAATTATTGTGGGTCGATTTATGCCGGTAAGAGAACCAGGGTCAAAGCTGGTTTCGTTTAAACGACCAAAGCTAAAATCAATATATAAGGAGTGATTACTGGGTCTGTCGATAGCGAATGCATTGGCCATTATATGGTTGACGTGAGAATAGAAAATAATGGTTCGCAATGAATATAAACTACTGATTGCATGACTGCCTATAGTTGTCTCAAACGAATAGATCCATAATTCCCGTAAATTTGATTGTTTAACGTTGGAGAAAGCGTTTGAGGGCATCATGGTAAACTTGGAATTATACATCTCGTCAATAAGTGTAGCGTTGGTAAATTTACTTATAACATTGTATATTGTATCAGGCTCCAATTGGGAGTTATAATTAATTGTGAGTGTGTTTGTAGTGCTGTAGGTATCCATAAATGCATCAGGGTGGATGTGAATTAAGTTTGAATTGCTGAACTCAATCTCCACAAATACAATATCCACGAAAGTGTTGGCCTTTATTTCAGTCACTTTAGTGTTGTTGAATTTAAACGAATGAAAATGTTTTTGCTCCGGTTCTAGGGTTAAACTTAATTTGTTAAACATTTCAGCCAGGTCAAAATCATTGTCTCCGTAACATTCTATATAATTATATTGACAACCCGTACAACCATAGGGTAGTATTACGCTCGGGTCCGGACACTCGCACGTAATTATCCGGACATTTTGGTTGAGTACAAACAGCCAGATTAAATCTAAAAATATATGTATATTCTTATTAATAATTAAATAAGACATTTAAACAATTGTAACAAAAATTAATATTATAATACGTAATATAAAGGCTTTACATACAACACTTTTAAGCAATAACAACAACTTACTAAAAGTTACTTAACCTGATTTAATACTTTTAAAAAATTAAACAACGAAACAAAATAATAACTTAATTAATATTATTATTTAAGCAAGGTTATATGAGATTGTATTTTTTATATTATTGCTATTGTTATATTATGTTTATACTGCATTATATTATGTTACTTTTAATACTCACATAGTATTTGTTTCATTGTTATAATATTTAAACAATTACTTTATAAACCATTTTAAGTTGTTTTGAGTTTTATGTTTATTAATGAAAGAATATATATATTTGACATTGAAATCAGTGATAAATGTAATCTAATATTGACTTAATTTAATTTACTTATAAGAGTTTTTAATTTAGTTAAAACTTTGAGTTATAGATTACTTTTAACGTAATTAATAATAATATCTCTTTAAATATTTTAATTATAAACAAAACACTTAAACGTTTAATTACATAGAAATTATATTATAAATTAAATTCATTGGAATTTTTATTTAAAATGTCCAGGTACAAGATTGTTATTTAATATCCACTATCCTTATAGTATAGATATATATGTAATTAATTATTAAATATATTTTATAAAAGTCATCATCACGGTTTAAACATAATTATTTTTTGAAAATCAATTAATTTAACCATAATTATAAGTATTAATAATAAATTATAAATATTAATAATTGTATTAATTTGGTTAAAATTAAAATTAACAATCTAATAATTAAACAATTTTAATTCTCTTCAACAAACTTGTTACATTCTCTGAAATGTGTTGGATCATCAAATGGTTTACCATTAAAGCATGGTAAATTAACACGTTTAAACAAGTTGTCTTTTATTAACCAATATGACCGACAGTCCTGACAATCAAAACCCTTATTACCCTTAAAATCAATAGTATTTAACTCGTTCTCCATATAAAACGGATGAAACACTTTTTGAGATAAATAAACAATATTTGTATGTTGGTTTCGCATGTAAATTGTGGTGGGTCGATTTATGCCGGTAAGAGAACCAGGTTCAAAGCTTGTTTCGTTTAACCAACAAACAACAAGACTAATTTCTAAGGAGTCATTACTGGGTCTGTCGATAGCGAATGCATTGGCCATTATATGGTTGACTGGACCGCCAAACATAATATATCGCAATGAATATAAACTACTGATTGCATGACTGCCTATAGTTGTCTCCGACGACCAGATATGCAATCGTTTTAATTTTGATTGTTTACTGTTTGAGAAAGCGTTTGCGGGCATCATGGTGAATTTTGCGTTATGATACTCTTCAATGAATGTAGCGTTGGTAAATTTGCTCATCACATTGTATATTGTATCAGGCTCCAATTGGGGGTTATTTCTAATATAGAGTGTGTCCGTAGTGTTGTACGTATCCATAAATGCATCAGGGTGGATATGGACCAGATTTGTATAGCTAATCTCAATTGTTGAAAATACAATATCCATGAAAGTGTTGGCCTTTATTTCAGTCACTTTAGTATTGGTAAATTTAAAACGATGAAAATGTTTTTGTTCCGGTTCTAAGGTTTGTGTTAATTTGTTAAACATTTCAGCTAGGTCAAAATCATTGTCTCCGTAACATTCTATATAATTGTATTGACAACCCGTACAATTATAAGGTAGTATTACGCTCGGGTCCGGACACTCGCACGTAATTGTACCGACATTTTGGTTGAGTACAAACAGCCAGATTAAATCTTAAAATAAATAAATATTTTATTAAAATTATATTATTTTAAACAAATAATAAGAGTATAATAAATCATATTTCTGAAAAATTTAGACAATAACAACAACTCTAACTATTTTACTATTGATTAATAATTTGTAAGAATAACTCAAAAGAGACTCAAACTAAACAACTACTAAAGTCATATTTTAAAAAACCATAAATTACAATAAAGTTACAATAAAACCAAATTTAAAATTTTAATATTACACCTAGGTTATTATGTAGTTTAGTTTTACAAAATCATATAATTTTAGTATAAAATTTTTTCATTTAATACTCACATAATATTTGCTTCATTATTATTATATAAGTTATTAATATAATATAAATTGTATTAAAACTATTTGAACAATACACTTATTTATATAAAAAATAATATAAGTTGACATTTAAACAATAATAAGTGTAAACAAAAGTGAAATCAATTTCATTACCGAATAAGTGTTTTTATGACTATTGCGGTATTACATATATTTACTTACCGGTATATTTTTACCAATATTTATTTTAAATATTATAATTGAAGCAAAACATCCGTATCATTGGTCCCTCGGATACAATCCTCACATGTGAGCGCAGTTGACTGCACACACACATCAACTACTGGCCAATAGATAACAACGTGTGCGACAATGTATGGCATACGGAGTGCGTTGTTTGTACAACAACTTGGCCATCGCTAGGTGTAGGCAGCCATCTGTGCTCACATGTGACGTATGTATGGGCTATCCCAGTGACCCCCTGGTTATTACCCTGAGTTTATCAAAAGGGCCAGGATACATTATGTAGTGTTTTCCAAAACAAATAAAGAAATCAATTGTAAATCCGGTTTTAAAGGCTAACAAAAACAAACACGAATTCACATCATATCAATGTATATCTGTTCAGCAAAACATATACAGAGTGTTTGTGAGCCCAAACTCATATCACATGCACTTTTCATATAATGTAACGATATTTTACGACATTATTTTCAACGCAATATCTAATCGTAAAAAGTTTGCAAACTATATAACGGCTTAAGTATTAAATATAATTTATAAAAGTCATCATCACAATTTAAACATTATTGTTTATTTGAAATTAATTGATATAATTATAGTAATGTAATTGTGATAATTGTTTAGATATTAGTAATTTAATTAACAATACGTTTTAAACAGTTTTAATTCTCTTCAACAAACTGGTTACACTCTTTGAAATGTGCTGGATCATCAAATGGTTTACCATCAGAGCATGGTAAATTAATACGTTTAAATAAGTCATCTTTCTTTAGCCAATTGGATCGACAGTCCTGACAATCAAAACCCTTATTACCGCTAAAGTCAATAGTATTTAACTTATTTTCCATATAAAACGAATGAAACACTTTTTGAGATAAATAAACTATATTAGCATGTTGATCTCGCATTCCAATTGACGTAGGTCGATTTATGGCGGTAAGAGCACCAGGGTCAAAACTTGTTTCGTTTAAATGACAACCAACAAGATGAATATAAAAAGAGTCATTACTGGGTCTGTGGATAGTGAATGCATTGGCCATTATATGGTTTATATCAACTCCGATATAAATCCTTTGCAATGAATATAAATTACTGATTGCATGACTGCCTATAGTTGTCTCAAACGAATAGATATCTAATACTTGTAATTTTGACAGTTTATTATTGGAGAAAGCGTATGCGGGCATCATGGTAAACTTGGTATTATTCATCTCCTTAATAAATGTAGCGTTGGTAAATTTACTCATCACACTGTATATTGTATCAGGCTCCAATTGAGGGTTAGATGTAATGGTGAGTGTGTCGGTAGTATTGTAGGTAAACATAAAAGCATCAGGGTGGATGTGAATTAGGTTTGAATTGCTGATATCAATTTCCACAAATACAATATCCATGAAAGTGTTGGCCTTTATTTCAGTCACTTTAGTGTTGTTAAATTTAAAACGATGAAAGTGTTTTTGCTCCGGTTCTAAAGTTAAGCTTAGTTTGTTAAACATTTCAGCCAGGTTAAAATCATTGTCTCCGTAACATTCTATATAATTGTATTGACAACCCGTACAACCATAGGGTAGTATTACGCTCGGGTCCGGACACTCGCAACGTAATTGTGCCGACATTTTGGTTGAGTACAAACAGCAAGATTAAATCTTATAATATAAATATTTTATTAAAAATTATATCATTTTTAAAAAATAGTAAGAGCATAATAAATCATATTCATGAAAGTTTTTTACAATAAAACTTTAGACTGAAAATAATTTAAAATAGACTCAAACTAATCAAACACTAAAATTTTATTAAAAACAACAAGGTACAATAAAAATAAATTAGTAATTTAATTATTTCGCCTAGGTTATTATGAGATTTAATTTCATAGATACTAAATAATTTAATTGTAACAATCTTGCATTTGGAATTTTGTTATATTTCAGTATAAAAATTACATTTAATACTCACATAGTATTCGCTTCATTATTATTATGTTATATTATTAAATTATTACGTTATAAATTGTATTAAAACTATTTCAACAATGCACTTATTTATATAAAAATAATATAAGTTGACATTTAAACCAATGATAAATGTAATCAATAGTCAAATCAATTTCACTCATGTATAAGTGTTTTTTTTTAAAATAATTATTCACGTATTAATATTTTTACAATATATTGTTTTAAACATCGTTTCGCAAGGCGGGTAAATTTGGGTAAACGCGGGTATTGAAGGGTAACATACTTTATACACGATTTATTGTCATCTAAATACATTCAAATATATAGTAACCATATTCTGAAAGTGGTGGATTGTTTTAATTCAATAAATTTATTTGTTTGAATCATAAATTCATTCAAAATTAAGCGTAAAATTATATATTTTCTTTTTCCATCACTCTCTCAATAACAATCTATCTGTTAGTCATCTCTTATCCTTCATTACTAACTTTTGTTGATAAATATTTTGTGACAATAGTAATGGCATTTGTGATGAATATTTTTATGGTTACTACAATACAACAAACATAATGTTTAGTTTAAAACTTTTTTTGAAAGCTTTTTTTGGAAGATGCGAAGTGTTGGTTTTAAATATCTAAAGTAAAAGCAAAACACTTGTTTGGATAGGAATTAAATCACTGATTAAATTATTTAATTGTTTATTAAATGTCAAATATTATATTATTAAAATGAAAGCAATTATGTTTAATAATTTAAAGTAAGTTAAAAATTTAAATAAACTATATATGATATACACCTTTCATTATTTATTTATTTGTTTAATTTTGTTAGCTAATTGATTAAGATATAATGTTGTATATATTCAAATTTAATAATTAATTAATAATAATGGCATAGGTATTAAGTTTTAATGAATAAATAAAAATAATTTAATAATAATTAATAATATTTTTATTTGTGTATATTATTAAATAAACATATTCATTTAATCTATAATCAACAATATTGAAAATGCCCTGGTGCATCAATTTCTTTACCATCGGAACATTTTAAATTAAGCGCTCGCTTTAATAAATCATTCTTTTTAAGCCAATACGAGCGACAGTCCTCACAATCAAATTCATTGTTATCCTCAAAATTAATAGTATTTAATATATTTTCCATATAAAAGGGATGAAAACTTTCTCGGGCAAATATGTTAAATAGTCTGATTTGCTATTTTGAACTCCTAAAATAAGGTGTGTGGGCCGATTTATGCCAGTAAAAGCACCAGGCTCAAAGCTTGTTTCATGTAAATGATCACAGCCGAGGTTAATGTCAAGGGATTCATTACTGGGTGCGTTCATTGCGAACGTATTCGCTATAATATAGTTTAGGGGAGAGTTGTAGATATTAAGTTTTTTCAATGAATGTAAACCACTAAACGCATGACTGCCTATAGATGTTATATCACCATTGAAATCCAGTCTGTACAGTTTTGATTGCTCGGGGTTATGAAATGCATTCGCTGGCACCATGGTCAACTTGTCATTAGCAAATACATAAATGTAATATGCGTTGATAAATTTGTTCATTACATCGTATATTGTATCAGGCTCCAATAAATCATTAGATTGTATGATGAGTTTAGTTGTAATATTGTATGTATACATAAATGCATCAGGATGGATGTGAACCAGATTTGTTTCTTTAATTTCAATTTCATTAAATACAATATCCATAAATGTGTTGGCCTTTAATTGAGTCACATTTGTATTGTTTAATTTAAAATGGTGAAAATGTTTTTCTTCCGGTTCTAGAGTTAGACTAAGTTTGTTAAACATTTCGGTCAAATCAATGCTTGTGTTTCCATAGCATTCTATGTAATTGTATTGACAACCCGTACAGCCATAGGGTGTGATTACGCTCGGGTCCGGACACGCGCTGGTTATCAATCGAACATTTTCATTGAGCAAAATTATCCAGGTTAAATCTGGGAAATAAATAAATGACTTTAATATAAATTTCACATTTTATTTATTAAACAATATTTAATATAATAAGAGACGAATCAATAAATTTTAACATTAAGGTTAATACTTTACAAAATAATGTAATACTTAAATAGAACTACTCACATAATACTAGCTTCATAATGTTTATAATGTATAACTTATTACGTTATAAATTGTATTAAAACTCTTCACACAATGTACTTATTTATATAAAAATAATATAAGTTGACATATAAAACAATGATAAATGTAATCAAAAGTCAAATCAATTTCATTAAAGTATAAGTGTTTTTATAATTATTGATATATTAAATATATTTAAATATCTTAATTGAAAGCAAAGCACCTATTTATTCGATTAAAGCGGTGATTGACTTTGATCATTTATTATATGAATTTAGATTAGTTTAAATGTCATCAAAAATATAATGAATTGTTTTAAACAAAGTCTATATTTATAACTTTGTTTGTTATACGTTAACTATAATTCGGGTGGTGTTTAAAAATGAAATTAGCATTATTTGTTAATTTAATATGAATCCCATAGACTCATTATTGTCTACAGTGTATAAGATTAGCATAAGTCTGTAGCAAACTTTATTTGTTTTATTTGAAAATCAATTGATACAACCATAATAAATGTAATTAGTGATAATTGTTTAAATATTAGTTGTTTAATTAACTAACAATTTTAATTGTTTTCAACAAACTGGTTACACTCTTTGAAATGTGCTGGATCATCAAATGGTTTACCATCAGAGCATGGTAAATTAACACGTTCAAACAAATCGTCCTTTTTTAGCCAATTGGACCGACAGTCCTGACAATCGAAACCCTTGTTATCTCTAAAATCAATAATATTTAACATATTTTCCATATAAAACGGTTGAAACACTTTTTGAGATAAATAAACTATATTTGCATTTTGACCTCGCATGTCAATTATTGTGGGTCGATTTATGCCGGTAAGAGAACCAGGTTCAAAACTTGTTTCGTTTAAATGACCAGCTCTAATATCAATATACAAGGTCTCTTTACTGGGTCTATCGATTGCGAATGCATTGGCCATTATATGGTTCACTTGAATAGCGAAATAAATGTAAAGCAATGAATATAAACTACTGAATGCATGACTGCCTATAGTTGTCTCAAACGAAAATATATACAAACGATTTAATTTTGACTGTTTAACGTTGGAAAAAGCGTTTGCAGGGATCATGGTAAACTTGGTATTATACATCTCCTCAATGATTGTGGCGTTGGTAAATTTACTCATCACATCGTATATTGTATCAGGCTCCAATTGAGGGTTATATGAAATTGAGAGCCTGTTCGTAGTGTTGCAGTTATACATAAACGCATCAGGGTGGATGTGAATCAAATTTGTGTGGCTAATCTCAATTTCTGAAAATACAATATCCACCAAAGTGTTTACCTTTATTTGAGTCACTTTAGTGTTGTTAAATTTAAAACGATGAAAATGTTTTTGTTCGGGTTCTAGGGTTAGGCTTAATTT